GGTCTTGCTATGTTACCCAGGCTGGTCTTGAACTCCTGGGTTCAAGTGATCCTCCCAAAGTGCTGGGATTACAGGCATGAGCTACCAAGCCTGGCCAGTAATGTCTTTCTTAACGTGGCTTCTCTCAAAAGCAAATTCTGAGACAAAAGCTCGTATGCGCTGACCTGGGGAGGTGACTGTAGGGTGCAGGAGCAGGGATCAGGGCGGGGAGTAGGGAAAGCAGGGAAAGGGGTGGTTAATAGCAAGGTTCATTACTGAGCTGGACAGTGCCGTGAGTAACTGGTGCTAGATTTTGCTGGGACCTTCTGGGGGGCCTTGTGCAAGGCATCTCAGAACTGTCAACCTGGGGGATCAAAGAAGAAAGCATTTTTCTGTCAATACCCACTCCTCTAACTAAACAACATAAGAAGGAACATAATTTCCACTTAGTGCTTATAAATAAGTAGTATACATAGTTCCTAGCTGCATAGTATTTTGTTATACAAGTGAGCCTATTCTTTTCTTAATGGACATTTAATTCACAGCCCTGGTTTTTATCAAGATGCTATAAACATCAAAAGGGGCATGACTTTGGTGAGGGGATCAATACCAGGGCTGAGGACTCCTATTTTATGCCATTTCAAGACTTTGGCTGGGCAAGGTGGCTAATTCCTATAATCTTAGCATTTTTGGAGGCCAAGGTGGAAGGATCACTTGAGTCCAGGAGTTCAAGACCAGCCTAGGCAACATAGCAAGATCTTGTCTCTAGAAATTATTTAAAACTTAGCTGGGCATGGTGGTATGCACCTGTGGTCGCAGCTACTTGGGATGCTGAACTGGGAGGTTGCTTGAGCCTGAGAAATCGAGGCTGCAGTGAGCCGAAATTGTGCTGCCGGACTCTAGCCTAGGCAACAGAGTGAGACCACCATCTCAAAAAAAAAAAAAAAAAAAAAGACTTTGGCACATTAAAAAAATATTTCATTTTGCTAAAACAATTCTCTCACACTAACCTATTCAGAACAAAAATAGAGAAGAGGTAAAAATAGCTTCTAAGTAGCCAAATAGATGACAGACGGTCATGCATTCCAGATGGAATGGGCAGTCCTGCATGCAGTGTCACTCCGGTTTTGTCTTAAATCTCATACACTTAACTTGTAAGTATCTTGTATCTTTATTAGGATCTCACTTAACCTCATTTTACTTACAAGTTTAACTAGATTGGTATCCCAGTTACTATTTCCACAGCAAAGGAGAAGAGGAAGGAAGCTGTTAAAGGAAGTCACACTAACAAAACCAAAATTTAAAAAGTGACCACTGACAGTCACAGAGGAGGCAAAAACAAAACAAAATAAAACAACAGAAAAACCTTTTAAAAATGACATAAATATGCAAAGAAGATTGGCATTCTATCTACTCTACAGAATCGTAAAAATCTCTGAGGTTCACAGCCAGAAAGAATGGTTAAAATTGCACTCAGAGTACTCTTCAGGAGGCAAGGAAATGAATAATTTATTCCATGCTATTATATCTTTGCATGCAGTATTGACTCAGTATGATTATTCTTTTTCTGTAATATGTTTTAGAGAGATTTCCTAATAAGTAGATTTAAAATGATGAAAAAGTTGGTTCTTGCTTGAACCCAGAAGGCGGAGGTTGCACTGAGCTGAGATTGCTCCATTGCACTCCAGCCTGGGCAACAAGAGTGAAACTCTGTCTCAAAAAAAAAAAAAAAAAAGTTGATTCTGAAAGCTCTGGGGAACTTCACTTTCCAAACAACCATTTTCCATGGAGTTTTAGCCAAGAAATTTCCTCCAGCAAGACAGAAGGGGAATGGCTTCTCTGCCCCTCTGCACAAGGGGGCGATGTCTACCAGCCTCTTCCTCTAATTTAGGCTAGTGGTGCCGTCTTGGGAGTGCACTTTGACAGTCACCTTCAGTCCTTGCATGGTGATGGCTTCAATTGGGGAGGCAAATGTGGAGTCTTTCATCTGCCTTCCTAGAAATTTTTGGACATTTTAGAGGTGAACTAGAATGCAAAGGGTAAGAAAATTATCCTTTTTCAGGAAGAAAGGAATTTGGGAACTTTTTCTACAAAAACTATAAATAACACACGTGCCATTCATGCCTTGTTTAGTTTGTTTTATTATTAGTAAACAGTAATATCCCAGCAGTGACATCAGCTAACCAGAATATTTGTATGTGTATGTGTGTGTGCACTCGTGTGTGCAAGTGCTTGAATTTAGCTAATAGTGTGGGATAGATCCTTTTTTAGGCCTTGTTCTAGAATCTTGTAGTCCATGTGCCAATCCTGATATCTCTAGTGTTATTACTGTTATTAACTCTATCACTCCATTGTGTCTGTCCATTCACTGTCTTTTCTTCTATTTGTCCTTTTTATTCGTCTTACATGCTGTGATAGATACAATAATGACCCCCCAAAAGGTGTCCATGTCCTCACAACCAGAACTTGTAAATGTTATGTTACACAGCAAGGGGAATTAAGGTTGCAGATAGAATTAAAATTATTTATAGCTGGCCTTAAAATAAGAAGATTATCCCGAGTCCTTAAGTGGATAAGGTAGAGGCAAAAGAGTTAGAAACAGAGAAATAGCATTGTGAGAAAAAACTGCTACCGATAATTTTGAAGATGGAACAAGGTCCCAAGCCAAGGAATGTGGCAACTGCTAGATGCTGGAAAAGGCAGGAAAACAGATCTCCTCTAGAAGCTCTAGGAAAGAACGCAGCTCTGCTGACACCATGGGTTTAGCTCAGTGAGACCTATTTAGAACTAACCTCTAGAACTGTAAGACAACATATTTATATTTTTTTAAGCCACTGAGTTTGTGGTAATTTGTTATACCAGCAATAGGAAACTAATACACATGCTCATAAATTGCATTTAAGAAGTATTTGTTGACCGGGTGCGGTGGCTTATGCCTGTAATTCCAGTACTTTGGGAGGTTAAGGCGGGTGGATCGCCTGAGGTCAGAAGTTCGAGACTAGCCTGGCCAACATGGTGAAACCCCATCTCTACTAAAAATACAAAAATTAGCTGGGCGTGGTGGTGGGTGCCTGTAATCCCAGCTACCTGGGAGGCTGAAGCAGGAGAATTGCTTGAACCCGGGAGGCGGAGGTTACAGTGAGCTGAGATCACACCACTGCACTCTAGCCTGGGCGACAGAGTGAGGCTACGTCTCGGAGGAAAAAAAAAAAGACATTATTTGCCACTGGATGCAGTGGCTGATGTCTGTAATCACAGCCCTTTGGGAGGCTGAGGCTGGTGGATCACTTAAGGTCAGGAGTTCGAGACCAGCCTGGCCAACATGGTGAAACCCCCGTCTCTACTAAAAATTACATAATAATTAGCCGGGCGTCGTGACATATGCCTGTACTCCCAGCTACTCGGGAGGCTGAGACACTAGAATCCGTTTGAAACCATGAGGTGAGGGTTGCAGTGAGCTGGGATCGTGCCACCACACTCCAGGCTGGTCGACAGTGAGTTTCTATCTCAAAAAAAAAAAAAAAGAAAGAAAAAAGAAAAAAGTATTTACTTTGTGCTTAACATTGTACATGGGGGAAAATACAAAAGTAATGTGACACTTTCTCACAAGCTGTTGATATTTCAGAAGATGAAATGGCATTTTATTTCTTATCCCATTAGCTATCATGTGATGCTCATAGTTGCCTAAGTAATTACTAATTCATCTAGTCATCTACATTTATTGACTGTTTTTTCTGTGCGGGGCATTGTGCATACAAAGATAAACAAGATATAATGATGAACAAGATATAGCTACTTAATGTAAACCAAGAAAATTCTTCATATCCACTACCACCCAGTCAGCTTTTCCTGCAATCTGTTCCCAATCACCCAAGTCCTTAAACTCCAAATCTACAAAATAGAGCTGAGGTTTTCAACTAGTGGTGTATGTGAGTGTCATTGCTATGGTGGACATTATGTGGCAGATAAAAATACAATACCTGTATCTGTGAAAGTAAAATTGTGAAATGTTCAGAATGAAATCACAGTGAAAGTAGTATATATTAAAACTGTGGAAAGCAACCAAAGCGGTATCTACATAAATATGGAGCCACTCTCTTTTGTTGTTAATTTATTATTGTATCATACCATAATCAAACAATGTGATATCACCCATATGAAATCAAACATTTTTTAACTTGTTGAGATTTCTTTTGTGGCTTGTTTTTTTTCCTAAATTTTTCTCACTCTCTAAAGCAAGGTAAAGAATTACCTAAGGAGCTTTTACAAAAAGATCTGTAGCAGTAGTCTGCCAGAAATAAAATCTCAACAAGTTAAAAAATGTTTGATTTCATATAGGTGGTATGTTGTGTGATTATGATGTAACACAATAATAAATTAACAAAAGTGAGTGACTGCATATCTATACATTTGGAAACTAACAAAGCACATCTATATATAATTCTCTGGATAAAGAGATAGTCAAAATAAAATTGTGAAATGTTCAGAATGAAACCACAATGAAAGTAGTATATATCAAAACTGTGGAAAGCAGCCAAAGAGGTATTCAGAAGGAAATTTATAGGCTTGATCTTTTATTAGAAAATGAGAAAGATTCAAAATAAAGTACTCAACTCAGGATAGAAAAGGAACAAAAATAAATCCCAAAGAGTAAATGAATTTACAGCAGATTAAAGATAAAATAAAAATTAATGAAGCAAAACAACCTTCATAGAATTGGCTAATAAAACCAAAAGTTTGTTTCTTGAAAAAGATGAAAAAAGCAAACAAACTTTGGTTGTGATAAACATACAGTATTAGCATTAGTAGTAGTAGTAGTAGTAAGGAAGCATGTATATAATGCTCTATGGCAGAGACATTCTTTACCCACCAGAGGTATGTGTGCATCCATACCTTTCCAGGCACTCTTGGTTGAGTTCGATGCTGGTGATTGAGCTACAAGAGGAGTGACATGTGCCATATCTGAACCAAACCATTTACAAGCCTGTGTGCAATCCTTCAGCTCCTGTCTTTCTCTGCAGCTGTGATCTGGAAAGCCATGTGCTTAGACAGTGAAGCCATTGGATGGATGCCTCCTGGTTTACTGAGTTCCCAAAGAGAGGACAGATGCTCGGGAGTTGCCCAATTGCCATAGCACTCGTGTGAGCAAGAAATTCAACTTTGGTAAGTCTCTGGCTTTTTTTTTTTTTTTTTTTTAATTTTTTTGTGAGATGCAGTCTTGCTTTGTCGCCCAGGCTGGAGTGCAATGGCATGATCTCGGCTCACTGCAACCTCCGCCTCACAGGTTTAAGTGATTCTCCTGCCTCAGCCTTCTGAGGAGCTGGGACTACAGGCATGTGCCACCATCTCAGGCTAATTTTTGTATTTTTAGTAGAGTCGGGGTTTCACCATGTTGCCAGGCTGGTCTCAAACTCCTGGCCTCAAGTGATCCACTTTAGGACGCCTCAGCCTCCCAAAGTGCTGAGATTATAGGCGTGAGACACCCCACTGGCCCTCACTGGCTCACGTTTCAATGTAGCATAGCCTCTCTTATCCTGATTAATTCATGTTTTGTAAAATGTGTTCTTTGAGAGTACCTCTCAGTTATTAGATAAATACCTGTAACTTACCAATTTAATTTTAAAGTTAAAGTGTAGGAAGAGAGTAGAAAAGGAAAGATAAGCAGAGCTCTTCCAAGCTCATTATTTTTCCTGTTTGTTGACAGACAAACATACTGAAGTCCTAATCAGTTACAAAGACCTAATAGGCCACATTATGTGCATCCACAAATACATATATACCTCCAAGTCTGTAGAAAAAAAAAGAGTGTCCAGCCACCTCCGGTATTGTTTTCTGTTTAAAACATTTTTCTTAATTTGTTAATTCACTGTCACTTTAGAAAGATGGTAAGATGAAGCATCAGCTCTTTTTTGAATCTCTTCAATAAACTATCGTTGTGCTTTATCACAATTCACTCATTACAGCATATTTCCATCAAAATGAGAGAATGAAAATAAAACAAAACCAATGTCTGTGCATTAAATTACCTGTAACTGAATTTGACCTGATTCTGATGCTAATTCTCATATTAAGAATGCAATAGAGCAAGCCACTTATTAATATTTATTGAAATGCTAGTTCTATGATATTCACACAGGCGTGTTTTAAAGTGTTAGTCATATTTCTAAAATTTACAAAATATTGAAGCATGCAGTGGTTAAATGCATAGACTCAGCTTGCCTGAGTTCATATCCGAAGTCCATCACCTTAATAGGTAGGTGACCTTGCCTATGATTTAACCTGTTTGAGCCTCAGTTTTCTCTTATGTAAAACTGGAATAACAATAATAACTACCTCAAGAGGTTATGATGGGTATTACAAGTGTTACCGTATGTAAACTGCTCAATTAACATTGTTGTGGCTGTTGTTGGTGATGGTAATGATGTTCGAGATTAAACAGGTTTGAGGGTGGTCCCAGAGCTGTCACTGGTGAGCAGCTTTGCCTCTATCTGTGTGTCTTTGAGCAACTTACCCTCACTCATCTTCAGTTTTCTTGTGTACAAATGCAAATAATTATAGTTATATGATAGACTTCCAGAGAGATTAGAGTATTACAAATAGTGGTAGTGCAGAAATGAGTATACAAAGCCCTTAATAAAAACAATTATTATGAAAACTGATCATTGGTAAACTACTATTTACCTATATAGCACAAGTATCCAAAATAATATTCTTTGTTACCGTGCTCTTCCACTTCTTCCTGTGCCTTCAACATTGCTATTATCATCTCCTGAACTACAGGTCGAATTCTAATACCAAGAATTCAAATATATTACCTAATATTCTTTTGTGTTTGTATTTTTAATGCCTAGATTTCATGAGATTTCATATCTAGAAACTTGAAAATCTTTTTGTTGTTGTTATACAGATTTTACTTGCCCATGTTGGATTTGACTCAGAGTCTACATGTTTGCTTTTTCTTTTTCCTCTTTTCTTCCTCCTCCCCTCACTCGATCCTTCTGATCCTCCTTCCATTGCTTCCTTCATCTCTTCCTTCTTTATAATTAGGTATGCCTCCAAACTGTGCTCCAGGAAACTCTCCATGGTCTAAAGGACTAGGTCTGTTTTGTGGAAGAGCAGTTTTGAGAATGTAGCACCTTTTTTTGGCTTTCAAATGCCCATCTAAGTGATTACCTATCTACTCTGCCACACAGAGGCTACCATTGTTCCAGTTATTGCTTTCACTCTCAGTTTTGCCTAAACTTCACATTCTCCAAATGCACTAAATATTAATTTCAGGTTGCAATCATTTGATCATTTTAAACTCATGCCTCTTTCTTAAATGCTACTGTAAACTTACTAGCTCCAGATTCCTATTGATTACTGATTTGAAGTCCTTAAAGAGAATGCCAAACAATTAAAATTCGATGTAGCCTGGCAAAAATACCACAAGAATATAAAGTTATTCCAGGGAAAGCAAACCATTTCTTCCTTGAATTCTAGGGCTATATCCATTTGTTTGTTTGGCACCAAGTTGCAGGGGAAATGGAATTATCTAGATTGTCTTCAATAAAGAGGATTCTTACTTTCTGAAAATGTCAAAGCACATGGACTGTTTTAGGACTTGCGTATATTATTCATATTTTATTTCTAAAGAAGAAAACATACCAATGAATATTAACAGCGATTTATCTCTTCTCTGAAGAGAGGAGGATGATTGTGAGGTTTGGGGATGTTAGGAAGAGAATTACCTCTCCAGGCATGCTTGGCAAGGCTCTTAGATGAGGAAGTGTGGGAGAAGGGACTACCATGAACTTGACAGATTTGTGGTCAACCTCCTTGGCTCTTCTGGGGAGTAGGGGCACATTTTTGCATATTCACTTTGAGGGGGCAAGATGACATCATGGTAAGAGAACAGGCTCTGGAGGCAGACATAGCTGGCTTGAAAAGCCAGCTCTGTTATTTGCTAGTGGCTTGAGCTTGTATAAATAACTTCGCCGCACTTTGGTTCCTTCATCTGTTAAATAGGGACAGTAATGACACCTTCCCTCTAGGGCTGTTGTGAGGACTGAGTGACAGAATGCATGGAAAGCATTTAGCACAGTTCCAGGCACATGGTAAGCTCAGCAAATGTCTAGTATTGTTATGGTTGTATTAACATTATTGTTATTTTACTATTATTGAATTCTAGAATTTAATAATTCAGTTTAGTTATGGAATGAGAGTTTTTTTCTCCTCTAATCCATCATGTGATCCTTGATTTCAACATCTGGCTTTACAATTAGAAGGGCTTATTTCTTCTCATGCATTTTTAAAATGTTTGCTAAAATATTTTAAGAGTAAATCTTCCTATTCTCTTCCTCGCCACCCTTTCTCTTGTCCATTTAAATGCATTAAAACTGCTTGTCTAATGAGGCTCTTACTATATGCCATATAGACATCAGAACAAAGTGGTCACTTGCTCCTGCTATTGGAAATACGGATTTGGACACAGTGGAGCCCTGTTGGATGAGACAGTGTTCTAGGACTCTCAGGGGCTTGGCTGCTTGGGTTTGAAGGACTTGGTGCTCTCATTCTCACTAGGGGTGATTTCCTTTTTGGAGCCTGGGGGTTATTATGGGGCTGTTTTGGTCTGGTGTCTGGGGACATCTCTAGATATCTGTGTTGGATTCTGGGAAGCTTTTCCTCCTTGGTTAATGAGGCTGCTGTATGTGAGAGGAGCATATCTCAATCCCTCCCTGGCTTTTGTCAGCTGCATGGATGCTGGGAGAAGTGAATGTCAGCCTCTGGCTGAAACCAAGAAGCGACAAGGGAACAGAAGCCTGCCAACAGACAGGCGCAAGGTCAGCACTGAGACTGCAGGGCTGAAATCAGAATGTGTGCCCGGGATCCTGTTGGCTTAAATGATCGGTGATTGCTTCCTCACTTCAATGATGTTTTTGAATATATCTTTTATTTACAGAGTGCTTTCATGTACATCAACTTGCATAATCTTTACAAGAGTCCAGTCACAGGGGCAGGGGAGGTCTCACCCTCATTTTATGGAGAAGAAAATGGAGGCTTTTTTCAATAAATTTTCCTAATATGTGTCAACCCATTTTCTAACTCTAGGTCCCACTGTTTAGAGTGTTTTCTTGGCTGAGCTGACCTTATTTCTAGGTAAAGACCATGGCTTAAGGCCCCGTGGGACAACCTGCAGGCACCAGATAACTTCTGCTTTCCTGCATGATTTTCTGAGATTCCATCATTTTAACCAATTATTCCTCTGCTTTAGCCAGTACCTCTCTAAGTTCTCTCTTAAAAATGCAAAGAATCCCTAGGAGGAGTAGGTAAGTCATCAATGGTAAGTCAGTTTGTCACATTAAATACACTCTTGACAGCCCGCTGAGATCAGGGCAGTTATGGATGGAAATAATGATGGCAGATGGGGAGAGGAACCTCTGGAGTTTGATGCACTGTCTGAGAAGGGCAGGCTGAGGGGGGTCCATTGGTTTTCTATTGCTGTGTAACAAATTACTACAATCTTAGTGGCTTAAAACGACATCCATTTATTATCATACAGTTTCTGTGGGCTTGCCTTATCTGGGTCCTCTGCTCAGGTTCTCACAAGGCTGAGATTAAAATGCTGAATTCCTAAAATTCCTTTTAGGAACTTGGGATCCTCTTCCAGGCTCACATGGTTGTTGGCAGAATTCAGTTCCTTTGGGTTGTAGGACTGAGGCCCACATCTCCTAGAGGCCACCTGTAATTCCCTGCCATGCAGCCTTCTCCATAGGCAGTTCACACCATAGCCATTTGCTTTTTCAGTCTCTAAGATGGAGTGTTATATGGTGTGATGTAATCGTGCGAGTGGCATTTTGAGGTTTCACCTGAAAATCTTTAGTCAAAGCTGGGTGCACATTCTCATGGGAAACAGCTGGTAGGAGCTGAGTAGTGGCTGCCACCTTGGGAAGGGAAGGATTCTTCGTTTTCTAAAGTCTCTGCCTTCCGCTGGTGCTGCTTGTGCCTGCTACCCAGGCTCCTTCAATCATTGGCTGTGCCCATTTGTCTGTTGGTGGCATTTGAGTTTATGACAGGGGGTTATAATCTTGAAGGAACCTGAAGAAGTGTAGGACTCCAGGAAATGGAATAAAAATGCTCTGATTGAGGAAAGGGCGTGGGCAGAGGTAAATATGGATCCACAT